ATCCTGGCACCCTATCGCTCCCCAGCCTGTCTTTACTGCCAACAGAGACCCGGGGTGCGGCTGATTTCGCCTGAAGGATCCCGGGAAGGTGTAAAATAATTGGATGCATGGGGCAAAAAGGTTCCAGTGGCAGTTTCTGCATCAGTGGCTAGGTTCACACACTGCCCTAAGGCATGGCTCGCTAAACCACGGCTTGGGGAATAAGCCACAAAGGTTGAGTTCACACAGCCCTCTGAAGTCAAGCAAACCACAGGACGGCTTAGCCCACGTAGGAAACCCGAGTCAAAGTAATTCTGATGCAGAAAAATATAAACAGTGCAATGGTGGCAGAAAAGGGGGGAAGTGGGGAGGAACAAGAGTCTGGATCTCTTCCGCAAATACACACTTTGGACTTCGATTCAGCTTGGGACTGGTCAGATTATCCAGCTAACACCAAATCCTGAGCTAAAATAAACTAGCCCTTGAAAGAACGCAGTCTTTTTATATATACATCTCCGAAAAGCTGCAAAAAATGATGGATACCTGAATTCCAGGGGCAAAACAGTAGATGGGTAAGGAATTTAGGGCAGCAAAGCGGGGCGGGGGGGAACACAGCACATTGGCAAACTAAAGGCCTAGCCTGTAATGGGTCAAAACTGTGCCTTCCCTTTAAAGTTTCATGGGATGCTACACCTTGAGGACTAGCCACTTGGTTTTTGCTAGCTGTCCAAATATTTCAAAATCCACACAGGCCTGAAAACCCACACAGTTCTGCCCACAATACGATACAGCTCCATCTAAGAGAGGTGCTGCTTGACACAGGGTGGGTGCTCCTGCGAGGACCTGCCAGCTGACTCTTTCTGCCCTCTTGCAGCGGCTGAATTCATCCTGACGTGTTCTGCCCGGGGAAAAGACTGCCCTCCCCAGCCTCAGCCCCAGAGCAAACGCAGAGTCTCCAGGGACAAGGCCCATGTCCTGGTTTGGCTTCAGCCTCTGCAGAAATGTACCAAAGGCGTCTGCATTTCTGAGAAATGGGTCTGATCGCCATCTAAAGGAATGCCTGCTGACTGGGGCTTTCCTGCTGTTCCACGTCTCAGGGGCTGGATCCCTCCCCACCTTCTCTGAAAGGGGCGGCCACGCACCCACGTCTACCGCAGGGGCGGCCCGACTTCATCTGCCCCGTGGAAAGTTCTCCCGGGGGGATGCACGCGTTCAGGGCTTCCTAAGCAGGAAAGCCGACCTGCCTGGCGTCTAGCAGCATTTCCCCCATCCCTGTGTGGGGAAACCTCCCACCGCAGGGCCCTCTCTCCGCTCCGGAGTCCCGGCCTGTCCAAACAAGCAGGCTGGCTGTCAGGGCCAGTCCCGTCCCTCTTCCAAAGCAGCCAATGGCCATGGATCTGCGGCCCTCCTCCCTTCCCTCTCGGAGGCCCCCGCTGGCCCCTGCAGGCGCCGCAGGTCGGGCAGAGCAGGTGGGCTTGGGGCCGGAGGAGGAGGAGGAGGAAAGAGTCTCAGGGCTGGTTGTTCCTGCCCACCGGCAGGCAGGCGGGAGCTGCCACCCGCGTTGGCAGCCCCAAGCACCCATTCTGGGACATGCACGCTGGGCCGGTGGGGCAGGGGGGCGGAAGAAGCTGGAGCGAGAGCATGCCAGCCACCCTCTACCAACCCCTCCTTGCCGGGCCAGCTGCCACCCTCCCCGGGCCAGGCCCCGAGGCCGTCTGCCTACCTGAAGGGGCCGAGTGGGTCGTCCATGACAGTGACGGCTGGGCGCTGCAGCGGTTCTCCCTGACCTTGCCACTCCGTGGCTCCAGGAGAAAAAACAAAAAACAAAACAGAAGAAGAAAAAGAAGGAAAAGAAGGGGGGGAGTCTGCTTGCTCCCCCCCTCCCCGGCTAACTAATCAAAATGGAGGCCCATGCAGTCCGAGGTAGACCCGGGAGAGCTTTCGCGGAGCTTGTGCGGTGACCTCAGCCTGCACGCAGGACGCAGAAACTTCGCCCTTAGACTGACAGCACTGAGCATGTGCTGTGACCCCCCCCTTCTGTTTCCGTAAATAAAGCACCGCCAACAGACACGGGGCGGGCGGGCCGCACCGCAGCACCAGCAGCGGCGCGGCGGCGGCGGCAGCTATGGCTTTGCCTAGCAAGATAGTGTGCAGGGAAGTGGGGCCTTTGCTAGGGAATCTGAGACAGGCAACGCTCGGGAAGGGAGGTCTGCTCAATCCCGTGGCCTTTCCCCCTCCCTGAATTGGGAGGAAGGCTGCAGGGGGAGGGAATCTCACACACACACACACCCCGCTTTTAATCTGTCTCAGAGAGCAAAACGCTTCTGCAAAAGGGCTTCTGCAAAAGGAGACCGGATGCAAAGGTCAAGTTTTAAATAGAACGGCTGAATATCAGGAGCAGGCTTTCCATCAAGTGCAAGTCTTCCGGGCAGAGACTCGCAGTTCCCCAACCCGGTGCCCTCCAAACAGGCTAATCCCAAGGCCCGGGCAGCCAGGAAGCTGAACCCCGACAGGCCTAGGAGCCACCGGGTCGGGCTTTGGAATGGCCCGAACTAATGGCCGGTGGTTTGGCAGCACCCAAATGCTTCAGTCCACATTCACGGCTGGGGCGGATTCCTAGGGGGCTCCAGAACCCGGGTCGGGCCAGGACCTACCATGCCCCCGGGGCGGCCTTCCACCCCAACAGGGCCACTGACGCCAAGCTGTGATGAGAAGGAAGCCAGTTTGGACACAGTCCGGAGGGAGGGCAGGAGGAAGGAAGGAAAGGGAGGGGCGGTGGTGCCAGGTCAATTCACACGTGGGACTTGGGAGGAGGGCTGATGTAAAGGAACACAGACCTGATCTCGGGGAAGGACGGAGCGAAGGAGCGAACCATTAAGAGATATGCACAGTCCAGAGATAAACTCAAAATTACCCCGCTTGGATTTTGTTCAGTATAAGAAGGATCAGACAAAAACTTGGACAGACTTCCGTGATTCTGTTATAACACCCTCCAGCAATAAAACGGCATCCCTGGAATCTCCGTGGTGCCTGTTTCTTGACCTGGCCTACCTCGAAGGGCTGGCACTTGGTCCCTTTTGCAGTGATCCTCCCCAGCGCAACTGTCCCTCCCCAGCTGAAGGGCTGAAATCTTGCGGCTCTCCCAGCGTGGCTGAGTTGCGACTCTCCGGCCAACGGGGAAGGGGGTGGGAGCCAGAGGAGGCCGGGGTTCTCCCCACCCCTGAGCCCAGACCGGTGGGCTCTGCCTGTGAGGCTCCTTCTTCCCTAGCCCGGTCCTGGGTGGGATTCAAGCTCCGGGTCTGATCGATGCGCCGCGCAAAGCTACTTATGACCTCAAAGGCCCAGGGCTCCAGATGTCAGCTGGTCAATTACTGCAGAAGAACATACGGTTCCTATCAGACTCTCCATATATCACTGCCTTTAAAATGCTTTTTAGGCACCTTGGTAAGAGACGCTTAAGCCCCCATGCACGCACACACACCCCAAAGCCGTTTGCATTATTCTTTTGCAGAGACAATCCTCCGCCGCAGCTCCGCCAGCAATTTGCCATCATCGATCACCGCATTTTTTTCGCGACGCGGACCCCGGCGTGCTTTCCGGAAGACGCAAATCACTTTGAGAACGGGGGGGGGGGGGCAGCGCCACGGCAGCCTCGGTCCCCCTGACTCTTAAACTGCGCTCAGCAGGTTTTTAAAGCGGGGATAAATAAAACGCCAGCCCCGCTTTCTCTCTCTCTCTCTTTTTTTTACGGAGTCTGCTTGCTCAAGGCAACAGAAAGCTCGTCAATAACGCCTCGGCGACGGAGCGAGGACACGAGGGGAGTGCGTGGCAGCCTGCAGCGTGGCAGGAAGCCGAGGAGCCTGCAAGGAAGGCCCCTGGTTTTAGCTGCTGGGAGCTGGTCCCCGGGAAGGTGAAAACGAAACAAAATTTGAACCTCCGGAGAGCTTCTCAGTCCGGCTCTTGGTTCAAACGTAGCATCGTGCACATCTGCAGATGTTACACCTACATAAACAGGAAACCAGAAGAGGTGACCCCCCCCCCCAGCCTGGCTGCTCAAATTTCAAGTATAAAGGCTTCATTGCAGAGCATTGTCCCTGCTTATAATTAAGCCAGACATTGA